ACCCCTCCTCCAAACCCAAAAACCCCCCTCCTCCCTGCCCCAAGCCTCACTAATGAGGCCCCAACTGTGCTGGTGGGAGCAGGGAACATGGTACTGAGGAAGGGTGCTAGTGGGTGCTGGGGTAAGGGACAGGGTGCCAGTGGGGACAGGGTTCTGCAGCTGGGGGGAGGGAACAGGGTGCCAGGAGGTCAGGAGACAGGTTTCTGCAGTAGGGGACAGGGTGCCAGTGGGGACAGGGATCTGCAGCAGGGGACAGGGTGCCAGTGGGAGCAGGGGAAAGGGAACACGGTGGGGACAGGGTGCCAGTGGGGGAAGAGAGTCCCCTGCACCTGCCTTCTCCCAGGCTTCCCCTTCCCCTCCCTGAGGAGGGAAGCCCTGTCACACGTCTCCTTCAAGCCTAACTCTCCCCTCCCGCGGAGCAGGGAAGCCAGCGCATGTGCCTCCTCAGGGCCAACCCCTCCTCCTGCGGAGCAAGGAAGCCCCACTGCACACTCCGCCAGGGCTGGCATGAGCCTCCCGTGGAGCAGGGAAGCCCCCATCATGCGCCCCCTCCGGGCCTGGCTCCCCCATCCCATAGAAAAGAGAAGTCCCAGCACACGCCTCTAGAGACTCACCCGGCAAGTTCCCAGCATGCCACAGACTTGGGGCAAGGAAGCAGCCAGCGCCTTTCCGGAACCCCCGGAAGTGACACGCAGCAGCAGGACTTCCGTCCACCCTGCGGGAAGCTGCCACTACCTCCACTGTCACTCGAGGTAGGTAGTGGGGCTTCTTGGGGGTGGAGAGAAATGCGGGGCCCGGAACGCCTCGCGCTCGACCAGTCGATCATGATCGACTGGTTGGTGACCACGGGTCTAAAGGCACCATTCCCACCCATCCAGACTAACAGCCACTGTCGGACCTATCCTCCATGAATTCATCTAGGTTTTTTTTAATCCCCATTAAAGTCCTGGTTTTCACAACCTCCTCTGGCAAGGAGTCCCACAGGTCAATTGTGTGTTGGTGAAGAAAAACTTCCTCAACATGCCTCAAAGACCCACTCACAACTGACAAGAAAACGTTTTATTTACATTACGGAACAGGAGCAAACCTGTTCTAGCGTAGGCAGCAGCCTCGTAAGTTATCCCCACAGCCGTATAAACAAGAGAGCGTAGACCAATTTCAGGCCATCAGAGCCGCGGTAACGGGTGCGACTCGCACCCCTCAGGGCCACCCCGCAGAGACACGGGCCTGTCGCCCATCTCCACCCCCACGCTGCCATCACAGCGGCACACGGGAGGGGGCGACGCGTGCCGGACACGACGGACAGTTTGTGCCGGGGGGAGCGGGGCCCGCTGCCCCCCCAGAGCGCAGGGCTAATACCTCGCGGCCTTTTCTCCGCAAACTGCTCGGCCGCTTCGACACCTCCGCGGCCACCGCGCCCGGCCCGGGGAGCAGAGCGCCTAGCGGGGCCCCCACGCGCGCGTCAGAGC